GTAGGATTTGCAGTCCCTTGACTTTATCTCAAGGTTGGCTTGTGTTTCATAAAGTTGGTCTTTAACCCACTTTATGCCGTCCCTATTATTGGTCCAGCATTGTTCGACATCCTGCATCATCCTATCAATCTGACATACCCTAGTGGACAGGTCCTCGATTTTGAGGTTTACTCCACCAATCGCAGGATGGTTGGATTGGCTCTCCACTAGAGATCTCTCGATCGCATCAACACGAGCTATAAGCCCGGTTACTCGATCAGAAAGAGATTCAAAAACAGTTTGAACTTGGGTGATGGAGCGAGCAACATCATCATAGCTGGCTCGCTCATTTAGGGCATCGCCTATGCTTATCATGCGATTGGAAACGATCTTGACGCGTTGGCCAAGCTCGGTCACGATGTCCTTAGTCCCTTGTGACAGCTGCATGGCCGCGTTCGCAGCCTGCGTACACGTGCTACTCACATGGACGCATTGGTCGTATTTGGCCCTCCACGAGTTAACCTCAGTGGAGAGCTGCTTGATGCATTGATCACTTCTATCATTCCTACGCCCAAGGTCTTCGACCTTAGCAACCAGGCGATGAATGATCGCACTTACCGAAGAGTCCACTCTCCCTCTTTCAAGGGCTGTTACAAGATCAGCAACCTCGTTGGGTTGCTCCTCACTCGCAGGACCAAATCCTGATCCGCGATCTCGAGGAGTGGACAAATCAACCATGATCGGATTAGATCTCGGAGGTGTTCTGAAATCATCTTGTACCGCCGTTGATGGCCGTGGGAATTCGCTCCGATTCGGAGACTGACTCTGCGCAGATCTTCTGGCATCGCGAACAGCTGATGGCTGTGGCATGCCTAGACCCTTTGTCACAAACAATTTGGGAACTACCGGCCTATCAGTCCGCATAGGAACTTCAGGCTTCATATCAGCAATGACAACGTCATGCAAATCAGTCGCATTGGACGCTCTAGACTCAGACATTGATTCAACATCGGTAGCGCTGCTGACGGTGTTGTTGTGATTGGAACTTGATGCCATCATGGATTCAGACTCAATCGGAACATCAGCTCCGTCTGTGTTGTCAATGGCGAGAAAGGAAGCCGCATTGGGCGTAGGGCGAACAGGCTGTACATTCGGGCCACTCGACCTATTGAATTCCTCCTGGAATGCTTCGATCCCATCAAGCACGTTAATCAACGTGTCCGCGTTTAACAGATCTCTACCAATGATCGACGCTGGGTCACCTGATCGACCGCGTCCTGAGTCCCGCGTATTGGGGTTAACCCTATGGGCAGTTTCCCGATCCATCCCCCTAGCCCTATGCGATCCAGTCGAATTTGACCTTGATCGTTTGCTTGGGGTTGGACTGGGATGCAAATCCAATCTATCTACGATATTACGCTCCCTAGGGCTCTCAAATCCTGAAAGTCCTGGGGGAGGGGACATGTTCCTCATGGTCGGGTTTACCGACGGCCTTGGCCTGACGTTACGGCTGGCCACGTCAGGATTGAGATTCTCAATCGACAAAGGTAGCATGAATTCGTCGCTTCCAGCAGCCCGTTTTGGGCTTTGGAATTGTGGGAAAGATGACGGGGCGGGTGGCCCTGGCATCCATGCGGCAAAATCCATACCAAAAATGTTTCCGTCGTTGGGCCATGAGGCTCTCCAATCGAGCCCACCGGATTCGGTCGGCAGATGAACGTCAAATGCAACTCCGCTGGATGTACCAGGTTCGGGATTACCGATCGCTTGAAAAACTATACTACTGGTTGGCACAGGTCTACTGCTACTTCGAGAGTCACGAATTTCGGACTGACCAATATTCATCAGCTCGGGGAAAGATGAGGATTGAGCTCCAGGTGCAATACCGGGCTCGTCATCATCACGTCCTGAGACGGAATCATCATGGCCAGGACGATCAGACTCACGACCCTGAGAGCGATTAGCTCTTGAGGCATTAGACGATAGATCATCAGTGCGAGTAGCACTGGATCTCTCTGAAGGCATTGCTTCTGAAAAAGTGTGGTCCGATAAAAAGTCAGGACCGGAAAACATCGGCTGTCCGGGCACTTGGTCGTCATTCACAACGTCCAAGATTCCGGCCTGGCCGAGAACCCATTCATCGGTCACCACATGAGGTCCGTCCTCAGTGATTCCCGCCATGATTTGTACACTACCCTACAAAGCCTGCAGGGTTGTTAAACAAGGGGTTCGCGGTGCCAACCGAGGACGAATCCTACGGCTGATAACCTGCGAAAGGGTTTGAAACAGAGTTTCGGGATGGATAAAACAGGCCCTAACCCACCAACAAGAAGAGACCACCTTATCCCCCCGGTCCCAAGGGCAAAGCAGTTGCCCCCGGCCGGCACTAACACGAACCAAAAGGGGTGCCTCGTTGTGACAAGAAGGAACCAAGCAGAAGCGCAGCACAGCGCAAAGCAGGCAAGCAAACCAGCAGCAAGCAGCACCAAGCGAGCAAAGCGAGCAATAGCAGCGCACCCCAAACAATAGCCCGACCCACCTCCAGGAGAAAGAACACCGCCCCAGACACGACGGCCGCGATGCCACGCGGCCGGCGTGCGGATGCGCCGCGGACTTTTCCCGACGAAATGGCGGACGATGTTTGCCGGATGTAAAAGCTTGAGCCAAATACCGCGTTGGGTAATGGCGTACTACAAACTGCTATGATAAAAGTACATGCCCCCAAAAACAGGATCATAAGGCTCAGGAACCAAGGCAGGTTCTGAAGAGAGGAGACCAACAGAACCCTTTTAGCATAATGGAAGGCAGGATCCACCTGTGCGCAAGGGCTGGAGTCTATGAACTATCGTACACCCCAAGAAGCAAAAATATCAGCCTTTGGCGGAGATGGTCATCTCAGGGCTCTGGCTCAAACCAGGGTACCCCTATAATACATATGTATACATATATACATATACACATATTAACATATATATATATATATATACACATATACACCCTATAACAGCTTCAACGCAAGGATCCCACAAGGGGACCCAGGAGATTGAAACGCCAGCTCGCTCTCTCCTTTTCTACATCTGCTCCGCCTCTTTTGGGCGCCCATCCACTCTCACCCAGCCAAACACCGCCCCAAGCAGCTCTATGGATTTCTCACAATCATGCCACTCTGTTGTTGTTTCTTTGTTTGTTTTGGGGGGGGGTCCGTAAACTAAGGATCGAATCATTTCGGGGGGATGTACCGGCGTCCAATCTTGAAATACCCCATATCAGCCCTGGACTAAATGGCACCCCCAATAGGAAAGCACCAGAAAGTACATGCCAGAGTTGCCCATCTTGGGCAAGGAGTTTGCTTTTAGGTACGATACTGAAGGTATGGTTCTGGGGTGATGCCTCTTCCTATTGGAGCAGGGATGGCGCTGCATCTAGCTGGACCTCGTGGGCCCAAACGGGAGCTAGGCCAAGCCAGTTCAAAGCCTCGGCTAGCCTTTTCAGTCTTCTGCGCCAGTCGTGCAGGTCAAACGAATGTCACATCCGCACCATCACGGGCCACGCCGCTCAGCTGGTAACCAGCATTGAGGATGTTCATCTGAACCTCGTCATCCAGCTTGTCATCGGCGAATCCCCGGGTCATGACACCTTCATAGAATGTCCCTACTGCCCAGTTGCTGTTGTCCCCACCAATGCCCAAAATGATGGCACCCTGCTTCTTCATGACCTCATACTTTGGAGGACGCCCTCCATCATACAAGGTCTTCAGCTGCTTCTGTTCATTCAATCCTTCTGGGCTCGCGGTCGCATCCGCATGCTTCAAAGAGAAGCGGTTGGCATCCCCCTTGACCATTGCTGTCACAAAGTCCGAACTGATTGGGGTATTGCCTGGGTTCTCCCGCTGGACACCAGCCCACAGCCCATCTTCCAGATCAGCCATGACCCAGGGGCCATCCTCCGCCCCACGGCTCCAGCCCTTGGAGGAGCCCCAATACACAGCCTCCATGGTACCTGCCCCATCATCATTATTGTCGATCTCGGCATTGCCATAATCGAAGCAGCACTTATCATTGTAGTGCTTACCCGCCACCACCATGTACAAGGACTCCGGCTCATCGCCAAGAGCCACACCTGTCGTGTGGTCGTTCCGGTATCCCATGCCGCCTTCAAACCTGGCGCCATAGACCGGACGGAGCTTCTTTGAGGCATCCCACACAAACACGCGGTTCGCGGTGGCGTTGGTGCCCCTGTCCGGAGCTTTCGCTGCGCCGCCGCCGGGCCCCAGGTCCAGGTGGTTCTTGTTCGGGGACTGGTCGTAGATCCGCGACACTGTGCAGGTGTCCTTCTCGCAAAAGGAGTCCTGCAGCGCGGAGTCGGCCGCGCCGCGAAGCACGGAAATATCTTGAAAAGCACCGTCTGATTCACGCTTCACCTGATAGAGGGGCCCTGCGTAGGCTCCGTAAAGAGCCCGCGTTAGGGAGTGTGCCGCGACGCAGGGGGTGCTGCCTCTAGCGTAGATGTCGCATGGCCCCTCCAGTGAAGATGCCAAAGCAAGCAGCGAGGCAAGAAGGACACTGCTGGCTGCACCCGGCATGATACGACTCTCCTACTCCGCTCCTGTGGTTCAACCCCTTCTAGGAAACCCATCATGCGTCATGAGATGTGGCTACCCCATAAATGCAAGCTAGTTTCTTCCAGCAGACACCTGTCCAACACAAATTCGGGCAACTGACTTGCTACTGTGACTGCAGCAGTAGAGAGCTTCGAATGTCCAATAACAGAAGTCCAAGTCACAAAAGCTGCTGCACTGGAAAACAACTTCATTAGCAACACCCTTAGATGCGATTGGGCGGATAACAATCTCACTTCCTGCGAATGCTCCAAGCTTCGAGCCGAGTGCCGGACCCAAGTCCAAGTGTCATCTTTGGGCTCGGAGTGAGATACAGGGAACGCAGAGCCACATGCGGGGGGAGGGGGGGGGGGGGTGGCTGATCGCCATTAAACGAACATGAGCAAAGTCCCAGATCCGAGTCCTCTCGGTCGGTGTCCCTGCGGGGCCCCAGATCGCTCGCCTTGGCTCTTGGGCTCCCAAAAGACATGGCTCTTGGATGAAAGCTATGGTTAATTCATTGAAAACATGGCCGCAACAAGAATGATATGTGTGGAGCCTTTCCACAAACATAACGTGGGCCTTTGCATTGCTCAACTTGAATCATTCCATGATAATTGTACAATAGCTACACACCAGGGGTTGCGAAACACTGCACTTTAGGCAAATAATTCCGGCCTCGCAACTTTTTTGTTTGGAGCCGTCTGGGTCGCAGCCATCCCAGACCCAAACGATTGCAAACTGAGACTGGAGATGACGGAGTTTGCGGTCCGTGTGTTGCACCCCTCAGGAACACCTGATCCAAGCTCGGGGCCTTCCACCTGCACAAACTTGGCTTACACTCTCAGCGAGAAGTTCATAAACACACCACGCTCTCGAACTCCAGCGGGTTAGGCGAACGACTCATGTACACTTTCCTGAAACAAATGAACGCGGTTCAAACCACCTACTCGGTTGCTTTAAGGTGGGGGCCTAGTTTAGACCAAGGTTGCCCAACGCCGCAAAACAACAGGCCTTCTAAACTGAAATGCGGGCAAATGAAGAGACCCCGGTAAAACAAAACCAGCATCGTCTGGTGTTTTGTTCCTTTGGGTAACGATCTGCGCGCAACTCAATTGGGGCGAGAGGGGTTAGGTCACCGGGAAACACACCCTGCATCGGCTTGCTGTCAACCCATGGCCTCAAAACCTCCCTTTTGGTTATCCACCCAGAGTGGCCATGGAGAAAAAGGGCGCCAATGTTTAGTTGGCACAATTGAGTTCCAAGGGAAGCCCCAACAAGAAAGGAAAACGAGTAACCTGTCCCAAACCTTAGAACAACAACGCTGGGTGCACGGGTCCGTGTGAGTGAGACCTCACCTTAGGCCCCAAGCGAGCTTGTCCCGCCAGGTGATGAAGCCGGCGCAGGCAACCATAAACCTCGCGACATCCCCACACGCAATAGCCTAACAAAAACTTTTTCTGTTTGCCTACTATAGTAAAAAATAGAATCATACTCAGTGCTGAGAAACCTGCGCAGATTACTCTAATCTATAACTCAAAGACGGAAGGAACGTGGGGCAGCTCTGTTGACGCTCCCCAGTTGCCCAGTGAGGGAGCAAACCATGTTACGTGAACCAAACAGAAAGGGGACAAAAAGCGCTGAACAACAACCAACGGCTGTGTCACAACATGGCTACCCGAAATGCGTAACCAAAACCATTCAGCCACGGGTTAGCATCAGGCCATAGATGTTCGACATGTCACGAAACGTCGCATGCAAGAGTGCCTTTTCGCGAACGGCGAAGTTGTTGTTACATGGCTTCTTACACATTGCCACCTGCATTAAAAACCAGTTTGGCATACCTCTAAGAGGAAACCAATACCCCACAAAACTAGGAAAAAGCGCTCATGCCTCACAGAGTGCTCGTGGTCACTGAGACCCGTGTTGCTTGCGCCCCTGGCCCCCATTTCTGCACTTGCATCGCAAACTCAGGGCTGCGGTGACGCCAACGCCAAGCGACAGCATGGCGCAGTACACCACGCGTGCGGTCTGCGACCCATTCGTTCAAGAAACCGCCGGATGCCAGGCGAGGAGGAAGACAATCGGGTACCACATGAATACCAAAGGCAGCAACCAGGCATGCTGCGAGGCAGAGGCACCTGCTGATGAAGATGGGCATCCCCCAGAGTCAGGCAAGGATCACGGACAGTGGCATTTTGGTCATATCCATAATCACCCGCCAAAAGCTGATTTGGCCAATGAGCTGCGTCCGCACACGCTCGTCGAAGACGCACAAAGGATCGTCTTCTTCTGAGATGCTGTACCATCCACTCATCGTGCTGTACACCACGAGAGACAATCGCAAAAACATCATACCGCTCCAAATCACCCGGATCGCGAAGCCATGCCTCAGTAAACATCGAACCCACGGACAAAGACTGCACCAGCAAGCAATTCAACACGAGCTGAGCGGGGCGACCAGAGAATGGTCATCTTGCGGCTTTTCGGGAGGAAGGCGGCGAGCCCAGCGATTTCTTGCGCCTTCAGCTCGCCGTTGTCTTGAGAGATGCAGAGCTTGTCCAAAAATACAATTTGAGGTGGCCTGAACTGCCAAAAAAATGTAGAAGGTGACAAGCGGAGGCCACACAAATAGATAGACCCCACAGGGACTGTATAGCAACTACTTTGGGTTCTGAGTGCCGAAGTCCTCTAGAGCTGAGCGCGAGCTTGTGTACAGCAGGACCAAACCGCAACACGACAGATCTCAAGGAACTTCTGGGTTGGCTGCGGTCAGCTGCAGAATTGCTCCGGGCTTGGCACAACCAAGCAATGCACATGCTGCACTGTAGCCCCCTCTGACTTCGAAGTCCACGTGAAGCCCAGCCCAACCTCGACAGTACTATGTGGGTAATTCTCTACATTAGGGTCCTGTTTGGGACCCTATTTACAAACAGTTTTTATCTGAGCCTGTCTACCATGTAAGAACTTTCTGTGCTGGGGGCTTGCAAGCAGAGTTCTCTCAATAGCTGTCCTTGTGGCTAAAACAAACTCATACCACCCTAAGCTTTTAAAATTTTGTAGTTCTCCTTACCCCATAATTGTCTGCTCACTTCAACGGACCCTATCCTCACTTAGGGTCCCTATGGTCCCTCAAATGTTCTGATTCACCTCCAGGGACCCACACAAACGTCTCCACAACCCGGACGCCAGAGATTTCCACTTTGGGCTCCGGCAGGCCATTGAGCCGGTAGAGGCGGCGATAGTTATGCCGGGCCGCCAGGGCCTCGAGTCCATCGGAGAGCCCCTTGAGCTTCACTCAAAAACCATGTGCCCTTCCTCCCATGGCACCGGGAAATACCTGGAAGATTCGTTTCCGTGTCAAGGGGCCCCCAGTTGCCATGTTGGTGGGAGGGAGGGTACTGTATGTTTCAAAGCAAGCATGTCACGTTTTGTCATTTATTCGTCGTTCTTGGGCTTTTGTGCGGTTTTCGGATGTGTCTTTTTTGCTGTTAGTTTGTTTCCCGAAAGTGCTTCAGCCGGGTTTGCCTGATGACATATGAAAGAGGCAAACGGAATCACTCGCTGGTACTGGGAAACCTGCAGTTCGCTCAATTACGCTGACTTTGCTTGTGGGCAAGGCACAGGTGTTGTTTGCTCTGCAGGACAACCAGTGCGATGCTTGTCATCAAAGCTCCCTGACCACTCTCGTCACAACCAGAAATGAACCAAAGCGGGCTGGGCCAACGCCCTGTTTATACAAACAACATATCTCGTTTGGTCCCCAACTGTGCCCAGGGCTGGTTCTGTCAACATGTTTTGCCCAACGCAAAAACCATCTTAGAACCAAGTCCCGTTTCAGAGAGCGTCCGCCATGTCCCGGCGCAGCCTACCAGCTCGCAACCGAAACGACGCAGCATCGAAAGCAAAAGCAAGGAGAGGTTGTGTGTGTGTGTGGCAGAACAGAAGACCAAACGGGCGGTGTCCTAGTGGCTTCCCTTTACGCCACCCGGAAAGGGCACCAAATAGGTCATATCAAAATGAGGATGGATGGATTTGTGCAAACTACAAGGAACCAAATGGACCCCCACCCCCCTTGACCCCAACCCACCCCCGGTAGGAACTTGGCCCCAGAAAAGAAGAAAAGACACGCAAAATCCTATACCTCTTACCTCATTATGGAAATGTACAGGAAATATAGGTGTCCTAGAAAAATGGATGTCCCTAGCTTGAAGCACCAGGTCAACCAGGGCCCCTAACAGAACGGTTGTCTGACGTCTGGGCGTCCAGGCAGCCCCCGCCAGAGAGGAGGCTGTGCCGGAGAGCGCCAGGGCTGCGCGAAAAGACGCGTGACTCAAAGGGTAGCTTCCCCATTCTTTCCAGACACCTTCTTTCTTGCAAACCGCCAAAAACCCATGGGGAAATGGCTGGTTTGTGGAAAGAACGATGGCTGAGAAGAATGGTCGGAATCAACCCCTAGTGACGTTTGTTGAGCAACCCAAGCTTCAGGCCACGAGCAACCCCCACAGCTCCCGGAACCCCGAAAACGGGGTTCGAGGTCTGCCATTGAACGGCGCCAATCCTTTTGTACTCATGTTGACACCATACCAATAAACCCCCGTTTATTCATATGGGGGGTGGTCTTGGCCCCTCCAAAAGCGGTCTGATTCCCCACGTTTCACCCAGGGAAAAGCACCTATTTATACACTGGGGTTGATTAACATGGGGTCCACCTTACCTGCAGGGCTTCCCTAGATGTCCATCACCCCTTGGGCAAAACAGGTGATGTTGAAAACCACCAAGCGAAATATAGGGACCCCTGCCTTCGGCTTGGTTTGGGAAACCAAAAGGAAAGCCGAAGCCCTGAATGGTGGAACCGTGGGTGTTGCCTCTTCAAGTGCATTTTTTTGGGTTGCTCCTTTTGAGTTGCCCCTTTGTAGATTGCTCATGTGATCATGTTTAGACTTTTTAGGCCCCTCCTTTTTGCTGCCTCCATTCCAGCTTGAGTGTTCAAGCGAAAGTGATTACGCGAAGCCACGGAATTTCGGGGGGGGGGGGGGGGGGAAGGGGGGCTTCCCCGTTCGGAGACAAACCCGAATGGAGCCTTGAATGGGCGGCATCCAAAGTTGCCTAAGGAGATCTCCGTGGGTCTCACCAAAAGCACCTCCCCTTTTGAGATGGACCTCACCCTTGCGGCAGGTCTACCTTGCTTCCTTTGAACATCATTTCAACAACATGATTCCCAAGAAGCTCCCAACATGCCATATGTATTTGGTCGCGCAACCAAACATGCTAACATTCGCCCTGTGGCGTCAGCGCCACAGAACGGCGGGGTCTAAGAAAGTCCACGGGATTTTCTGCAAGTTGGCAGCATAAGAAGCCAACTTGGGGATTGAAACCTCCCATTTCCAGGTGTCGATTCAGCTTGCTTCTTAGATAGAAGCCGTATTTATCCTTTGGTTGTACTAGGCCTGGGTGTCAGATTGGGGACGCCTAAACAAGCAAAAAGGCTCATCATGGTTAACCCCTTTTTTGCCTCCGATGAGGCGACTTGGGGCCTGGGGTTTGTCATTTTGACCCGATACGTCTACAACCAAAATCAAAGGGCAGCGGGGAAAACAAGTCGAGCTAACATAGGCACTCACGACGCCCCTTATCCCGATTGCCGCGTGGTCCTCATTTTTGAAGGAAACCCACCAAACAAAAGCGTGATAATTAGGGGGGATTCCCTCACAATCAACCAGGTGATAGTTACCCTCTGTCCGACAGTGATGGAACTGGACAGCCATTCAAGAGGACTGGCTGCCAAAACCCGCCGAGGAGCTAAACCCCCTGGTTCATGAAGACATTCCAAGCCCAAGAATCTCCTTCACCTACCTGAGCCACCAAGTTTCATCGATCTCAAACTTGCGGGGCATTGTTCTCCTTCTCCCAGCCTAGCATGGCATTCACATCTACCAGCTCATGCATCTTGTCCACCGAGAACTCTTCCTGAGAAACAGTTCCCGGAAGCGCGCTCTGAATGCAAGAAACACATATTTAGCCCGATATGTGATTCTCCGAATATATGCACAAGGTTGTGTTTGTTATAGCTTGTTTTTGGGTGTGTAAATTCTGGTCGGTCTCAAACCCCACCGTTGGCGTTTAAGTGTAGGCGACTATGGATCTTTGCGGTTTTAGATGATGGTTCCCCTGAGTACCTATTACAACGGCAAAGGAAATCGCTTGGCATGGCTCGCATAGAATGTGTCCTCTTCGCTTAAGATTCTCAGGGGCCACGGGTTTACTCCCAGGATTCTCATTTGCTCGTGCTGACATCAGCAACCGTCAACGAAATCACTTTGCGGAGCAAACCCCGTCCTGGTTTGTGTTGAAGGCTCCCCTTGACCACGGACAGTACGTATTGAGCAACACGCAAAACGTGTTGGAACAACCCACCCCTAGTCTGGGTTTGATGCCAAGAGCCATGGTGATAGGAGTCGGTCCGGTGGACGCTTTCAGCTTTGTTGCAAGGGAAGGCAAGAGGACAGCCACCTTTTTGAGGCCCGCCTAAGTTGACAAGCCCAATATGCCCGCATGCATTTGGTTCCCGGTATGGAGATGGGAAAATGGGCAAGACGCCTGGACATGCAAGTCCCCTCAACTCATGGCCCCAGATGGATCACGACTGGACAGTTTGACCGAACCATGACAGGCTTCACCCGCGGTCGGATGGATATGTTCTCAGACTGAAGATCCTTCGTACACTTCCATGGGAGGGCCACCAAAATGTCTACCACTTTAATAACCTGCAAAGGAAAACCTGCGTAAAACAACAAAACAAAAACACTTTGGTCACCTGATGCAACTGAAATCAGTGGGGAAGCACAAACGCCTGAACTCATGGGCGGAAAAACCCTGGAAACTCTGATGGCAAGTGGATCAAAAAATCACCACAGGACCACCGAGTCCATGCAGGTGACATCCTCAAAAAAGGAAACCGGCGCCCAAATCAAACCTTGAGACGCATTAAGGAGCCTGGTGACTAGGACCCTGGGCACCCCGACGCTCGGGTCTGCCGCATAGAGCGTCACCGACCTAAACCGTCGAAATCAGACACCCACTCGTCACGTTTCAATATGGCTCGTCAAAATCGGGTTACCCCCCAGAAAGGTTGTCGGTTGCCCTTTTGGTTTCCCGTCAACCCCACAAAATGCTGCCACGCCTCAAAAGCACACCCAAATGAAACCCCTGCAGATACCTCCATCGAGTCTCGTTTTGTGACCTCTTTTTCTGGGTTCAAATTTGGTCCCGGATCAACTTGTCCCATCCGGAGCGGAAAATCTATACGACAAGGGAGCCCACCATCTGGCACAAAGATCAAGGATTAATTCTTAACCCACTTTGCAGTAATTCGGGCTCATCTAGACTAGTGTTGCCTAGAGGATGATGTTTCTACATCCGAGAGATTTTCCTAGGTTTGGGGGGCCATTGACTGCACCCTTCCGTGAACCACTTATTGTGACCCCTCCCCTGCGCACCTCCCCCCCCGTTTAAAAGGGGAGAAGAGCTGAAGATTGTGACCCGCTGTGCTGACTTCACAACCGCGAACTGACACCCGAGCGCCTCGAAGAAAGCTCGCTTGACACTCCGAAACGTGTTTTCCAACCTCATTGAAGATTCAGTACCGCCGTGAAATGGCCGACGGAACATCCAGCGACCCCCTTGTGTCGAGTTCGCGCGCCGGCTCCGAAGGAAAGAGCCGAAGCCGATACCAAAAGGAACTTGCTCTTTGTCGCTGTTCAAGGAAAGCCCTGGAACCGTGGAACATACCTGCTGGTTCCGAGCAGATGAGCAAAAGATCCCCAAGCATTGGATTCCGACAAGTCCAGCTTCTTTCCTGAGAACCAGCCAGGAATGCCAAGAAATGTGGAACTGGGGGGGAATTGACCTGTTGGTCCTTGGGGACTATTGCAACATATCCCTGAAACCCCCTGTTTACTTTCGGAAAACAATTTGAATTCATTTCGGGAGGCTGTACGACGGTGGCGACCACCCATGGGCGCAAGGCATAAGCTGGCGCAGTGCTACGCCGAAGACGGTGCTGCCACAGGCGACCTCTCAGAAGGGGGATAGGTCCAAAGCATCTCCTCTCAACCCTCCCGTCCACCAACATGGAACCTGACTGATGGGCCCTGGAAGACTACTTTCCTTCAAAAGGGACCCTCTGCTGTTGGGTTCCATGTTAGTGGACAGGAGGGTAGAGGGCAATGAGATTGCCATCTTGAGACCAGGATTTAAAAAAAAAATGGAGAAAAAACTGAGTCGTTGACGGGAGCAAGCACCACCCTGACAATGACCATCGTGGCATCATCGTATATTGGCCAAAAAGGAAACCTAACGAATCCCATGTGCCTGGTTTGTTGGTTCGGGGTACCTCCTCCTGATGGGAGTAAGCACTGGATACAATGTGAGGTAAGTGGCGTGCAAATGTTTTCGTGTCTATATATATATACATATTATGTTTTTTTTTTTTTTTTTTTTAACAAATATATATATATATATATATTTGTTTATTACTTTTAAAGCAATGGACCAGCCGCTTCTTTTGCCTTGTTTGGATAGTCGCATTGGCCAACAAATGCCATCTGCAAGGAGCATCGCAGAATCGGCTCCTCTAGGAGCCGATTCAACGTAAGATTTTGTGGCGCCAGTCTCCTGGAAAGCTTGGTTGACTCCAAAGTGGACACAAGTTTGCTGGCCGCAATGTTTTACCATAATCAAAGTCACCCCCTAAGTAGTGGGAAGGGACACAACCACATGTTCTGACTTTGATAACCCCCAGAAACCGTCAAAAAATAGTGACCCCAGATTTAGTATGCAAAGTTGCATGCTTCTTGCAAGTGTAATTGTTCTAAAACATAGTCTGGTTCTGTTCAGGTCGCCGGTCAAATGAACCACTGCTCCCAGTCGTGTCAACATACATTGGAAGCAGCAGGAGCCCTGCTGTCAAAACTCTGCGCAGTGTGTCCCAACATCGGGGGTTCCTTTGCGAAGGGGAAAATGGTGGCAGCAAGGCTAAATCATGTGGATTTGGGGGGTTGCCGGACACGGTTCCAAAAGATCTTCCTAGTCACCATCCAAAGGCTCCCCTGCTTGACCTGAGGGTGAGGACGTGTCAAAACCCAGTCTGGCACCCATCCAAGCGTTTGTCCCCCTAAAGTTCGCCAAACATCGAAAATGCTGCCAAAACTCGAGGGATCTTTCTGGACTCTTTCCGCGACCCCTTGAGCTCGCACGCCATTCTCCTTTTTTCTCCTCTTTGGCCTTGCGCCTGGGAGCTCAGACGCAATCCTGGGCGAGAGCGAAGGATTTCCAGCTGACGTGGCTTCCAGTAGAACCCACTGGTTTGCGCACGCAAGTTGGACGGTCTAAATACAAACTCAATCGAAAGCAAACATAGTAGAAACAGTCTTCTGCTAATCGAAAAGGAGGCTCCAGTTCACCTGCACGGTGAGGCCAGATATGGACAGGTCAACGGGCTTGCCAGCTTCAGAATGACTGTAAATATCCAAATAAGAAACCACCTTGTCCTTTGGTGCAAGCGGTCGGAACCTGTTTGAACTGGTCCCCGATATGCTGCTTGCTCCCGTGTAAATTGGCCGCTCGTTGGCTCTTTGTTGCAGAAAGGCACTTTCGCAATGTTGCTGGGACCTCTGGAAAACATGCCTCGCGCGAGACCTACCCTGCGCAGGCAACGCAAAACCTTCGCAAAAGTCGTAGAACTATAAATGAAACAGGGAAAGGTGGAAACCAACAGATCTAGAACTATAAATGAAACAGGGAAAGGTGGAGAAAGAAATCGCCACTTCCCCAATTCCTGCTCCACGGCCTCAGCGCTTCGCCAAAATTCCGGCCCAGCGGCGAAATGTTACGCGGAGTCGCTGCTCCGCGACCGGCCCTCGACAGCAAAGCGGGGCCCAAAAGCAGGGAGATCCTCCAAAAATGACAACTTGTCCCATGTCGGGGATCAAACACATGACCTTTTTGCGCCCTGAGGTTGAAAGGGGATGGCTGTGGCTCAAAAAACCGGTACCAAAATGGATCCCTGGTAAGTGGAAACAAAGGCCTTCTGTTTAATTTTGAGCCACACCCATATGTATATCCATAACTAGGTCCTTTTGGCTGTACGTTGAAAAGCTGAAACATGAAGCTGCTGTGAGGGGTAGCTCTGGCCTACTCCCTGGAAAACCTGGTTAATCACTCTCCAAGCCGACTGAGTCCACAAAACGCATGCAAAAGGACACTGCCGAGCACACTCTCCCTCAAACTAGAGTCTATCAGAGGCGACCATGTCGGTTCGGGCAGAAGTGGTTTGGACAAGCCAGCTTGATCCCTTGTAAAATCACAATTTGGGAGGGGGGCTGTTGTGGGGAACGCCCATATTTATGTTTGAGGAAGCCATTCATCTTCTCCAGCATCAATGGTTTCATCGGATTTCATGAATAGCTTCTGGCATGTCCAGCACAAGTTGCAGGTCCTTTGTACTTGGATGTACATTAGACGCAAATGGTACAGGACCCCTCGGTTGGCAATGAACTGCTTCGACTGGACGCTAGCAGCATCAAACAAAACCCTGGGCCGACTAGCTAATCTCAATCTTCGCTTTGCGAGATCCGAGGAGTTGAACTTCGGCACCCTGAGGCCTGTTGAAATAGCATGTTGATTACTCCCCGCTTCTCGGAAGAAACGCCCACCCCGCCATGTCACTTTTGCGCGGACTGAGGACATTCCCCTGCAGGTTCGGCTCAAAGAGTACTTGCACAACTGGAAGTTGGACGCCGCAAGTTGGACCCCGCTGTTCGTACGAAGTGCCGCAGGGTCGTATTTGAGGGAACCCAGCAGAGGCGCGGTTCACGTGTTTTTGGTCTACGCCCGGCATGAAACCAACCGTTTGGAGAGGCGCCCTTTTCACAACGTTCATACTCTGCTCCCCACAATCTCAACGCATCTCCTCGCGCGGCGTGCCAATTCTGGACCTCTAGTGTGGTTCATTTTAGTGCAAGTCTCTTTCTGAACCAAACCAGTTCGAATCAAAGGTCCAATAGCGAATACCAGCTAAAACCAGCAAACTTGACATTCTCTGCCCTTGAGGACCTTGAAACAAAATTCAGCCGGCCGACAATGCTTGTAGTAAACATTGGGCCCGACTCGTGAGTTTGGAAGCAACAATTTGAAGGTGCAATCTGGACTTGGTACATAATCCAAACTATTTTCTGGTCCTTGTCCGTCCAGCCCTTGTCTTACAATATACACAGAAGAAACAGGACCGTTCAATGTGACTGCCCGGTGCTGGAAAGCGCGCTGGTCAGTCGGGGTAGCATAACCCTTACAGAATGTCAAACCCAGATTGCTCAAACAAACTGCAGTAACTGCGCTTGTGCACCTCCCCCCCTCTGTCCAAGTCATAAGAACAGCGCTAAAGCGGAGCCTCGTCGCGTCGATAGCCACGCTCTCTCTGACCTTGCAGTATGTTCACAACAAAGCCTTCAATTCTGTCTTTGTCGACATAATGATCTTGACATCATCCCTGACACTTGCAGTGGTTAAGTACAACTGAATCACAGCATGCCAAATGTTGCAATCTGTACTCGGAAGGAACCCGAGCTGAGGTTGACATTCCAACAGCATCACTCGCGGGGAGGAACTCCGACACTATCGAAATAGCAGCTTGTCATATTCCCCGCTGTTGCCACTGTTGTTGTCGGTGTTGTTGTCGCTGCTGTTTTTGTTGTTGGCGTTATCGTTATCATTGTGGTTGTTCCTGCTGTTGCTGTCGCTGTTGCGATTGCGATTCCTGCTGCTGCGGCTGCTGCTGCTGCTGCTGCTGCTGCTGTTGGTGTTGTTGTTGTTGCTGTTGCCGTTGTTGCTTCTGCTGCTGCTGCTGTCGCTGTTGCTGTTGCTGCTGTTGTTGCTGTCGCTGTCGCTGTCGTCGTTGTCGTTAATGCCGTTGATGTTGTTGTTGTTGCTGTTGCTGTTGCTGTTGCTGTTGCTGTTGCTGTTGTTGTTTTGGTTCTGGTTCTGGTTCTGGTTGTGGTTGTGGTTGTGGTTGTGGTTGTGGTTGTGGTTGTTGTTGTTGTTGTTGTTGTTGTTGTTGTTGTTGTTGTTGTTGTTGTTGTTGTTGTTGTTGTTGTTGTTGTTGTTGTTGTGGTTGTCGTCGTCGTCGTCGTCGTCGTCGTCGTTGTTGTTGTTGTTGTGGTGGTGCTGGTAGTGGTGGTCGTGGTTGTGGTTGTGGCTGCGGCTGCGGCTGTTGCTGTTGCTGCCACCGTTGCTGTTGCCTTTTTCTTGCTGTCGCTGTTGCTGCGAAAAGACACACCCGCTTGAGGCCAAAGGCGGTTGCCGGCGCCCGTGCGCGCTTCGATGGACCGGACGAATCCCATGACCAGGGCAGAGTAGTCGTCCTCGCCCTGCGCGACCCCGGAACCCCGAAGCCACGTTCCTCCACAAGTGTTCTGTTGGGATGCAACGGCCAATACACTGCACACACGCCTACGCGCCAAGGGCCGCCTGCGCGCCCGTATTTGCATCTTCCTTGCCTGCACGAATGCCTGCGCAAGCCGCGTTGCTACCTCGAGCTTTGTCTCTGCCGATTCATTCCTTGCCTGCGTGCGGCGCGCGGCTTGTGAGTGGTGTGTGGTGTGTAGTGTGGTGTGGGGTGTGGGGTGTGGGGTGTGGGGTTCTAACCGACACGCGCTTCTCCAAAATCGCAACCTTTCAACACAAGTGTAGCAGCTGCAGACTGAAACGGGAAATGGGCGTTGAGCCTTCGCGGACTCGGAGCCTGCCTACGCGAATGGAGGAAGTTGCCTCGTAGCTACCATGTAGCCACTCTCCGTCGTGGGCCTCTGCGAAACATGAAAGCTTTCAAAACACGCGCAGCTCTATGATGTGCCACCCCAGGCGTGCCTTCACGGTCGCCCGACAACAATAATGCATGCGAAATGCCCAGCGAGCCGCCTGAACTGCCTACACTTGCCTTCGCGAACTGCGCAAGCCCTTGATTCCGGAAAGACACGCTGCCCAGTTTGTGCCTTGAGTGAGCCAGAGGGCCAAAGTGGCCAATGGATGTCACATGGTAACAAAACTTAAAGGAGGCCACTTGACAAAGGACTTGATAACCATTGCTGTTTTTTCGACGGCTCAACAACGACATAGTAAAGCCAGACGAAGCCTACTTACAATTTAGTGAAGAAAGAAATGGGTTTGACACACACACACACACGTATTATTGTGTGTGTCTCTCTCTATTAACTTGTAATATACATATGTACATAGTGCGCCCGGCCCTCCGTGTGCCTATGTTTCTCTGTATCCCAGGAAAGTTTGGAAGAGGGGCATACCCGCTGTTCAGGAATCTGGATCCAAGATCCAAGATACAAGGTTGCCGCGGGGCTTTCAATGTGATTATCATGTTTGCTGTTGTCATATTTTGTATAATGCCTGTAAAAATGGGATTAAAGACTCAAGATTCAAAATATCCAAGCAATATTTGTCTGGAATGCTTGGATCTTGAACCATGCTTTTTGTAAACAAACAAATCTGGGACTCGAGACTCAAGATTGAAGACTCCAAAGCAATGTCTTAATAAGGCTCTTGAATCTAAAATCCCATATTTTTTGAAAAATGCAGCAGCAGACCTGTTGTGATCCAGACAGCACTGAAAAACCTCAATACTGGTATTAAGGAACCCGGATCCAAGATCTAAGATTCAAGGTTCCCCCCAAAAGTCCTCCAGCAATCTTGCATCTCGATCTTGGATCCAAATATCGCGTATGAACGAAACTACATGACAGTACTATGAGAAACCTTCATACCTGGCATTCAGGATTCTATGGGTCCAATATTTCCCTCGAAATCCCCCAACAATCTTGGATATTGGGTCCAGATTCCTTAGTACCGAGCATTCATTAAGAAAACTAACTTCAGTTCTTCGGAAACCTCAATACTGGTACGGAGGTTTCAGGGGGGAAGCACTCACCCCAGCAATCTTGGATCTTGGATCCAGGTTCCTTAGTACCGGTATTAAGGTACCAGTACTGAGAAAACTCCATACCAGTACGGAGATTTGCTTGCCCCAAATGTCATCATTTCGGGCAAACTGACACAAATGTTTCGAAAGATGCTCTTCCTTTTTGCGCCAGCGATCTTGCTTGGAACCCTTGTTTGCTCGTAATGGAATTGCGTTCTGTCCAAAACCAGAGTACAAATGGCTTCTTACACTGCGCTACTGTCTTAAGCTGACTCTGTGGCCTCTTTCCGAAGGTAAGGTGTTGGAGAAAGCTCTCCAGAGTGCAAGAGGTACCCAAGATTCTCTTTTTGCCCAGGGAAACTTGCTCAGAGAGCTTGCTCGGAGAACTTGCACAAAGAAACTTGCGCAAATAAGAAATTGCACGGAAAGACAGCTTATTCTGCGCAAAAAACGCGGCTACTCTTGCCTACAACAGAGTTCATATGTTTCCTGGCCACCAAAATTCTAGTTGGTTTTGCGCAAGGAGTACCAAAGATCCTTGCGTGGGTCCAGTTGCTATGAATTGCAGAGGCTGCTAGAAGGTCTACCTGTTGATACATGTCCTCTTGCAGTTGCGCAAATTGCTCTCTGCCCAAAACTAAATAAAATGAACATGATGGACTGCAAGATGCGTATCTCTGCCTTAAGCCTGCTGCAAAAACAGCAAAACGTGCTGCAAAATCTAAAATGCCGATAGGCACAGGGGGTAGCATCTACGCATTCTATATATCTATCTATCTATCTATCTATCCATCTATCCATCTATCTATCTATCTATCTATCTATCTATCTATCTATCTATCTATCTATCTATCTATCTATCTATCTATCTATCTATCTATCTATATGTACCTGTATATGTACACTAAGCCCTGCAAAGACCGACTCATCGCTCGAACCGGGCAACTAGGATTTGACAATTCGATCCAACATCCTTTGGATCTTGGACCTGCTTGCAGAAAACGCGAGTCATTCTTGGTACAACAACTCAACAAACAACCGCGTCCTTAGAGACTGTAAACTGATATCGAAAAAGTCCCCGAGCATCGCGCCACATACCTTTGTGTCTTCCACGTTCGTCTGCAGGGGGGTGCGTCATGTAACTTACACACAAACAAGCAAGGTCCACTAGCTGTGTACCCACCAGTGGCTGCGCAATGTATGCATATGATTTTATATATATATATATATGTATACACGATGTCTTGAGGGTGTGTAACGCACGACGCGGCACACATCTTGTTGCAGATTTGCAAAGGAGGTCCTTGCTACGCAGGTGTGTGATGGCAAAGCAGCGCTATGTAGCGCAGAACGACAAAGTGCCGCAGCTCCAGCTCGAAAGTCGCAACTGTTCAGTGCAAGCGAAGCGAGCGAAGCGCACCTCCGCAGCTCCAGCTTGAAATTTGCAACTGTCCAAGGCAAGCCAACATGACAAGAAACGATCCAGGGCAAGAAGCCCGCCAAACATCTCGCTCATTTTTGGGAACGGCTTTGGGTTTGCAACGGGGTATGTAACGGCAATGTAACAACGTGTGCAACAAGGTATAGCACAGAAAGAGGAGTCTTTCTTCCGGCCCCTCCCCGCTACCTGTAAGTCTGCTCTGCAGGCAACCAGTGTGAATCACTGAGAGTCTGAGTACGATTCGGGGTATGTGACGAGGGGCATGCAAACCAGCTCGGCGCTTGTATTAATGTGAGGTGTGACGAAGGTATGTAACGAGGGGCCATAACTATTTCTATACTGTGAATAGTATACCCTCCCACCGGCAGGGAATGCACAACCCCCTTTCAAGCTTTTGAAGGACTACTTGCCTGAGCAGCCCCCAGTTGCTCAGGCTGAGAATGTGGGACAGGGATTTGACACTGAACTGAGGGTTGTTTGTCCAATTTGCAACCAAAGAAACCCCGGTCCGACCCTATTCCGCCCACCAGATTTCCGGATCCGTCGCACATCGCCCCGCATCGCCTCACGGCGGGGCCGGAAGTCGGCCAGCACCGTGGCCTGCACCGGGCGCGCGCAGCGCTCCAGCACCCCGAAGGCGCGGTCGTCCATGGGGTACCCTCAGATCGGATCCAGATCGATCGGATCGATCCCATCGACCAGATTTCTCGTTCGGCTGATCCGGAGTTCGGTGCAGAACAAAAAGAGCTCCGGAACAAAAGGGGGCAAAACTCGGTTGGCCATGGTGTGGCCACCAAGAAGGCCCTGACGGAGTTTCGGGGGAAGGAGGGGTGATGTTCAATGACTTCCTCCGGAATGTCTTCATGAGCTCAAGCAGTAACTTGAGTAACTTGGCCAGCTGTGATCCTTTGGGTACCATGTGAATTTTCAGTTTCTGCCTCGAATTCGGGCTGAGGGATGTGATTCCAACACTTCAGATCTGCTTGCCGCTTTTCATGACTGAGCTTGTCGTGGCAAACAGACATGGTTGTCCCTTTTTGAGGCGCTTGCGGGCGCTTCGGTTTCTTTTAGACCTCAGACACATCCGTGTGTGTGTGCGTGTGTTTTGTTGATCGGGCCCTTTCCAGCCGAAGTTGCAAGGGTGCAACTCCTATTTTGACACATACCCGTCTCTGTTTGGGCAGGTGGCTTGGTTTCAAGGGAAGCCCAAAACGGAAACCAAGCTTTTGGTCACCTGGTCTAATTCTGACACACCCAGAAACCTGTATCCCAGCCCAAAGCAACCCAAAGTCATCCCTTTGGGGCTTCTCAAAATGGTGATGCCCTTACATTGGTTCCCTTTTGGTTTCCTTGAAACGCCAACCAAAAGGGGGTACGCCCATTTAAGGGCAACCACCATTTAAGAGTAACTTAACAGGGAACCATTTGAGGAAACCATTTCAGGGAAACCACCTAATTCCTGCGGATGGACGAAATCCTGCACTACCTAAGAACACCATGAACGACGCTTCCCTTGCAAATTCCAGCAAACAATGGTGTCCCATGGGTTCGAAGTGGTGCGAAATGGATTTCGCCCATCCACAGTACGCCATGTTGGCAACAGTTTGGTCCACAAGTAACCCCCGTCCCCCCCGTCCCTCCACTTCCGCCGCAAGACTCTCACGGAACTCCGCCAGTGTGCTGGCCCCTGCGACTCCGGGCTTCGAAACCCGCGTGTGCTTGGCCCAGTTGTTGGCCAAGGGACAAATGGCGGGGGGACTGTCCGGAAGAATATCTATTTTGTATTATGTTGTGTTAAAAGAAAGTCCCGGTATTTAAGTTGAAAACTATGGGTCATTTAGCACCCAGCAAAAAGAAAAGAAAAAGAAAAAAGGAAAAAAAGAACTTCCCTGCGATTCCTCTTGGCTTCTCTTTGAAACAACACCCAAAAGAAAATGGTCCCGCTTAACTCGCTTGCTGAGACAATCAAAGTCCGAACTTGTTGTTGTCTGCCAATAAAATGATCTGTCCAACAAGTGTTTGGAGTTCAGAAACTCGGGACGTGAGCTGAACTTCCAAGAAGAAAAACAGTGACTCCAGAAAACAGATGACGCAAAAATTAGCAAGTCCCGAAATGGATCCTTCAAAGCCCACGTCCCCCTTCGACGAAAGCACCCCAAAGATGACGGCTCAGAGCGTCTGACGGGAGACCTTCGGCATTATTCTGAGACGAGCCGACAACTCAATTTGGGTTTGGGGTATGGAGCATTTGGGTTGCCCCCCCCCCCCCCCACGTTGCCATGGTCATGCTCCGAGACATGATCTGTCAGGGACCCTCCATATGTTGAGAGAAGAAGCATGTTTAATGGACTTTTGGAAGGTTGCTGGTATTGCCTGTGCTGAAAGTGCAAAGAGGGCTGATTCGCTGCGCGTCTGCAGATGCTGCGAGGTCCTTCGTGTGGAGGCATGAACGAATACATGTGTTTCAAAAGCTGCAAACTGACCCGAGGCGCATTCTTGCGCTTCCTAGCTGCGGTGGCGTGTCCGATCCTTTGGCTGCACAGCATCAGGGGAAACCAGAGAAAGGGTTGGACAACATGCTACACGCAGATACGTGCTGTACTGCTCTACCATAATCATTGTGGCAACTGTTTTTGTTTTGTTTTGTCCCCTTTTCTTTGCCAATAATAATGCTTTTCGAGCGGGGTGCTTGCCTGATAAACGGGTGGCCTGTGGTGTTTCCTCTTTGTGCGAGGGACATCATTTTTCAAGATGAACTGTGACTTTTGCTGTCGGTCCCTAAGCGTGCTGATCTCCCATTTTGGCCACAAGACCAAACTCTTCAAGCGCAGCCACCCGCTTGCTGACCGAATTCAATATGGCTGTGGCTCAAAGTAGGGTGCCTCCAACCACAACAACATCGGTGCTGGCACTCAACCGGCTTTGACCTGCAGCGTAGCGCTGTGAAAGCCAAGTCAACACGTCATTCAGTAACGTCCTATTGACATGCAAGATAATGACTGCTTGGACGGGCCCTACCGTTTCACATGTGTCAGAAACAGATCGACTCTCAAGATGGTTGGCGTTATTTTGTTGCCTTTTGAAACTGTCCAACCCAAAGAGTGCCTCCAAACATACCTGCGCCTGGTCAATATTCAAGCCGAAACCCAGTTGAATGTGTTCGATCATATTTGCGCAAAAGCAAAAAACATGTTAGCAGGCAGTGGCCAAGCGAAAGTTTCTCTGGTTGACAAATGAAGTAGGCGGCGCTAACGCAAACCCGGGATGAACTCATGAACCCTTGCTTGATTTGTAAGGGCATCCCATTTCAGAGGGGATAATTCACTTTTCGAGAAGAAACGCCCCTCCATTGGTTCCGCCGGCTTCGCTAATCCGGGGTCGGCAGCCACCAGCCCTCGAACACCAAAACCCGGGTACACCCGGCAAAGAAAATGCGGTGCCTGGTCCGCCATCGTCTCGGCGCGGCTGATTCATCGAGTGCCGATGCATCACCTCATGTTCAAAACGAGAGATGGAACTCTAAACGAAGTTCTAAATGGTTGTGCCAAACAAAATGCCGGCAAATTTAGAACTATGATTCTACCATTTATCTTACTAGGGACTGTTGACTTATCCTTGCCTGATCCGAAGCGTCTCAGCAATAGACCCCCCAACTTTGTACAGGGAAACCCTGAGCAACCACTGCGGGGTGTAGATCAGTTTCTTCTCTGTCACACAACTCATGCATCGAGTCTTGCCCAAATTCAGTGCAGCTTAATCTGATTAAAATCACAGTAGGGAGCCCACCAGCAATTTGCTTCCTGGTAAAGGGAAACCAGAGGAAAGCCAAGGAAACCAATGGAAACTAAAGAAAACCAGAGGAAACCAAAGGAAACCACAAAACACCAAAGGAACCAAAGGAAACCAAAGGAAACCAAAGGAAACCAAAGGAAACCAAAGGAAACCAAAGGAGACCACTGAAAAACCAAAGGAAGCCAATCCCATTTCCTCGAAACATCACATCAGATCCCGATCTGATTGGTTTCGATGGATCGGTTTCTATAGAGATCCCATCGACCAATCTGAGGCCAAAGCCGCGCGCACAAAGCTAGCGACCAGGGCGGAGTAGTCCGGCTCGCCTGGCAGGTCGGCGTGTCCTTCTTTGAGGCTCGGCACCTTTTTTCGTCGTGCTCCTTTTTTGAGGGGGGTGGAGGGGGAGGGGGGGGGAGGGGGGGAAGGGAGGGGGAGGGGGGGTGCACTAAAGGGAAGCCAAAGAAAAAACAGTTGTTGGTTGGTTTTTGTAGCTTTTGCTGGGGAGTTAAAGACAATCGCCAATGAATGGAGAAAACGATTCGCTGACTCTTCCCAGAACACAAAAGCTGTGTGCAGCTGCAAAACGTGAAGACATGGACGTGAGAAGAAAAGGCTGAGTGACTCTTCCTGAAACTGTTGCAGCTTCGAGTCCCAAACATTAAAGATCAAAGCGAACATCTCAGCCCAGGATGCAAGAACCTCCAACATCTCCAACACAAACGAGGCCCGCACAAAGCTTGCGTTGGAATCATCAGAATTCATTTGGATTTGGGCACATCCAAGGCTCCACATGTAAGAGGCCCAGCTGTACCAAGGAGTCGCAGGCCCTAACAAATGCTATATCATACAGAGAAACAGGCAAGCATTCGCTTTTCAATTGCTGATCTCTTCAGTCCTCCACAGGTGTGAAAGTGACACGGCCAGCTTGGCAACCCAAAATAAATTCATATGACATAGTGTCAACATACTTCTTTTGGTCCTTCCTTGTTTCCCACGATGGCTGCGCTTTGTCGACCTGGAGCCACTGGCTATTGGTTTCATGCGGAGTGTCCCTTCTCGATTTGAACGAAAAGGCTGCCCCCCTAAAATTTCACACACCCAACTTGTTTCTCGACAAGCCACCAGTACTTGCAATGTTCATTCCAGACCCCAACGCTCTCTCAGCGCGTTCACGCAAGCCTTCGCGCTTTGGCCGGAATTGGTTCAGCACAGACTTCTGCACCTCGCCCGGCACGCTCATGAGCACCTGGGCCCGTGGTTTAGCTGTGGCTCAATGGGGCACTGTAGAAAAAGTGGCCATGGGTCAAAATCCCGTACCCCCAGTAAACTAAAATGGGTGGTGCACCTACCCCGAAAATTGTAAATTGGTTTGACCCACAGTCACATCGCAAAATATGGGCCCCCCTGGGTCCTGAGCCCCACCCCTTCGTGTGGAGTTTATTGAAAGCCAGAGCGGGTTGAGAGCACACGGGGCA